CCCATAGACATAACACTGACCATAGGATTTGCATTGCCCTAGACTAAACATTACCCATGTTAAACCTGTCATAGACTTAACATTAGTCCCATTTTAGAGTATAGCTATAGACTTAAGCAGTAAGTCTCATAGAGCGTGGGGCGAAGGAGCGTCAGAACTATTCTATCAACCACTTTATTTGTAGCCAAATAGTGGTTAAAAACAAAAAATATAAATGGTGTATGCTTTATAATGCCCGATTGACCACTAATGTGGCCACAAGAGTCATACTTTTTTAAAAAAATTTAAAAAAATATAAAAAAATATTTGAGGCATTTTAACACAATATTATATAAAATATTTGATCAAAATAAAAAAATATAATTTATTGCACTAGTGAGAAGTCATAAATTAAGGTTTCGGGTGATTATCACGTGTTTTGTGTTTGACTTAATTATTGCAAACAATTAATTGTTTTGTTTATTATATATCTTAAAGCTATAAAGACTATGAGTTCTAGCATAACATCGACGAAGACATAGATTTTTAATTGTTTTCATTATAACAAAGTTAAGACAAAACTATGACAGAGAATGTGATAATCTATTCCCACAGTCTATGCAATCGTCTAATAAAACAACTTTAAATTGTATAACAAAATAGACATTATTTTTATTATGTTTTTAACTATAATTTTGCAACAATTGTCGTATGAATGCATTAATTAATGAATTGATTTCGTGAAATAATATTTGAAATGAATAAAATCATTGAATTTAAACTTAGGTTATATTCATTGTTAGAATTCAATTCAAACTTATTCTCTATTTTCCAACAGTTATTACAATCTTTGCCATCAGTTTTTCGCTTTTATACACAAAATGATTGCAATTATTGTATTCAGTGTCTTTGAATGCCATTTACTGCCAAAATGATAGCATTTTATGTGATTTAATGAAAACGAATGGCAGATATGAAGGCATTCAAGTGTTCAAATCTAGTGTTCAAAAAGACATTGTTATGTACAAAAATGGCTACCAATGGAAGATTATGATCAATAAATATGGTATTCGTATGATTTCCAATAAATCAAGCATTGGTTACGGAATTATGAATAGATTCAGTGAAGAGGGTTATGATTGTGAAGTTATCCCTCAGGTTATTATACAATGCATTTTATTTTAGTCACAAATTTTAAAACATTTACATTGAATTGATATTAAAGACTCCATCCAATGGAAAAATTTGGACCAATTGTTCGGATGGCAACTCTGATCCCGACAATCAATACGATCCCAAAGATGTCATATTTCGGGCATCGAATACAAGTGACAACAATTGGGTAGGAATTTACAACAAGAAATCGGGAAACATATCGTGTTATTCGCCAAAAGTGAAAAAACTAGTGACCAATAGAACCGAATGTAGAGAATTGTTTGGTAGAAATCAAACAGTTATCGAAGCCATCGATCCATCGGTTGTTGAGTCTATCGATGGTATCGTTGAGATCACATCCGGAGGTCTTATCCTCGGATATCATATATTCTTCAGACGAGACGGACGGCCAGTCTTTTGCAACAAATATATGTCTATCACTGAGAATAAGGCATATTTCCTATGAATTATTGAACAAAAATTGTTAATTTTATCTGATTCTTAGTGCAAAGACAATAAATATATCACTGAAATACTTTCCGATTGTTTCCCTCCGATTCAACCAAAGGCGAGCAATTGGAAGACGGGTTATACTGTTTTGATAGTTATTGTTTGTGTCCTTATCATTGTTTTCGTGTTTTCTGTGTTCATCGCTCGCAAACATTATCCACAATATCGTAAAATCCCAAAACATTTGATAATTTCTATAATAATTAACACACATTTACATACAATGATTTTTAAAACAGTGCCGAAACGATTGAGGCCCGCTTTGGACACGCCATCGGATCCAACATTACAGAGCTTTACGAGTACGTGTCGTGTATTTGATTTGCAAAAGATATCACATATTAATAATCCTTTCATTGATTTACAGCCGACGAGACCAAAACAGGGTCCACAACAACGCCGCCGACAACACCGCCGCCCGAGACTCAGATCCCTTTGAAAAGTATGTTTAGTGTTTGACAACAATATTACAATCAATTAATGTTTTGCTTATTAATAATCCATTCATTCATTTATAGCCCCGGAATTGAGTGGAAGACAGAGTCCATCAAATGTGAGTCCATCGACAACACCGCCGGTCACAACAGCCGCCACAATGACCACAACAACCAGAGCTAAGAGACTGTCGATTAAACCCAAGAGAGTGAGAAGTCCTAAATTAAAGTTTCAGGTGATTATCACATGTTTAGTGTTTAACTTAATTATTGCAAACAATTAATTGTTTTGTTTATTATATATCTTAAAGCTATAAAGACTATTAGTTCTGGCATCACATCGACGAAGACATTATCAAAACGACACAAAATTGAAGAGAAATAAGATCTCAAAAATGTTTTTTATTTATTATTATTTCTATTCCTATATATTCTGTAAATTTTGTTACAATTTATGAATTTTATTGTTTTATTGAAAAATTATATTTTTTATTTATTTGAATCTATATTGAATTTTTTAAATACATTTTGTAATTATAAAATTTGTAAATATTTACTTTTAATTTTATATAAATACCGTTTTGATACAAATCTCAACATTAAACAAATTAATTTTGCAATCGGTTTCAATCACCTTTAAAATGTCATTTTATATCATTAAATACTCAAATGAATTCAATTTTAAGTTAATTTTAAATTATATGAGCGATAAGTGAAATCTTTAAGATAAAACAGCGATTTATGTAATAAAAGAGTAGACATTTGTATGGTTAGCATCTTTTCTGTCTGGCATTTAATTACAATAAATGTCAAACAAAAATAATACTTTAATTAATAATAAAATTAATTGATGTTGGTAAAGCACTTGTAAAGTATTCACAATTTTATATTCACTAAACTAATAATAAACATACTTTTATAAATAAAAATTGTGTAAAAACACCAAAACTTGTGCGAAAACACTTATCCAAGAGATCCATCAAACTGTGCCTGAAAGTAGTTGATGGCCACGGGTTGGCCCAACCGATTGGTCTTTGCGTAATCCCGCACTTTAAAGAATGGACGACCGGTCAGTGAATCGCTGGCCACTGTCTCTTCAGTTGTATTGACAAAACCCGGCTCATTGTAAACCAGGAAAATATATCGATAAAGTCCCGTATCCTTCGGTGGTCCCGAGCCTTTATACTCGGCCAGAGTTTTGCCCATTGGTCACGTCAGAGCCCGCAATATTAAGTAAACATACGGCGTATGCATTGGCAATAGTTAACATACCGGGCAATGATGTGTCCAAACGGAATACTTTGGCCCCGTATGCGGGTTTGAGATCACCCAATGGTATGCTATCCTTACAGGACTTTTGAAGTTTTTTTTTAATTAATTGCTTTCATTGTATTTAGTTTTTGAAAGAACAGTAGAAATTGTGTAAATATCTAATTTGTATTTAAATAGATTGACATTAAAAATCAATTATACTGTAATTATTTATGAATTAAAAATTATTGACTAAATTATCACATTTTTAAAACATGTCTGTAAACATAAACACTCTGTATTCGTGTTCAAACGATTTTTGTAACAATAGTTATATGAATGCATACATTAACTCAATCTTCAGTGATTTGGTTATATTATTGTTTTAAATTAATTGAATATAAAATAATTGAATTAAAACTCGCGTTATTTTAATTGTTAAAATTGAATACAAATTATACTCCATTTTCCAACAGTTATTACAATCTTTGCCATTAGTTCTTCACTTTTACACAAAAAATGATTTCAATTCTTGTATTCATTGTGTCTTTGAATGCCATTCACTGCCAAACAAACGACAGTTTGTGTGATTTAATGAAAACTAATGGCAGATATGAAGGCATACATGCGTTCAGATCTAATGTTCAAAATGCAAATCTGATGTACAATAATGGCTATGAATGGGAGATTATGATTTACACTAATCGTATTAAAAAGATTTCCGAAAAATCATTCATTGGTTTTGGAATTATCAATAGATTCAGTGCCAACGGTTACGACTGTGAAGTCAAATATCAGGTTATTATACATTGGATTATAATTTATTGAAACATTAAAAACATTTACATTGAATTGAATTGATTTGAAAGAAACCAAACGACACCCGAATTGTGACGAACTGTACGATTGAAAAGATTGATACGGAATCTCAATTCGACGCCAAAGCCATTATATATCGGGCGTCGAAATATATTAACAACGATTGGGTCGTTATTTACCGCAAAAACGACTCTAAGATATCGTGTTATTCGCCAAATGGGAGCCCAAAGTTAAGGACGAGTGAAAGTGAATGCAAAAAATTGGCTAATTATTCACAAAATATATTTGAATCAATTGATCCCTCGATTGTCAAGACTATCGATGGTATCGTTGAAGCTGTGTTGGGAAAGTATATAACCGGACACCAAATATTCTTCAGACGAGACGGACGGCCAGCCCTTTGCACTAAACCAATAGACGACACAACGATTACAGTATTTTTATTATGAAATAATGTATTTAAAGATTAATTGAATCATATTTTTAGTGCAAAGAAAAGGAAGACACTTTTGATATACTTCCCGATTGCTTCCCTCCTCCGCCTCCACCGCCAACCCCTTTGTATAAACGCTGGTATTTTATTTTATTCATTATTGTCTGCGTTATCGTTATCACAGCTTTTGTCATCTGTATTGTGATGAGAAAATATTGGCCCGATTTACGTAAATACATAAATCATTTGATAATTTTATGATTTTTAACATATTTTGTATTAAATAATTCCTTATTTTATAGACCCAATAGAAAGTCGGCCAAAATCAGCGACAATTGAAAGCGTGAAAACCATTGATAGTCAGAGTATGAGTTGTGTTATTGATTGGGAATTACATGTTTTGTTTAAAATTTTATTTTATAATTAATAAAACATTGATTTATAGCCAAAAAACTCAATTTGGGTGAAGAATCAAAAGTGAGTGGATTTTCAGCACATTTTGCACCAAATGTGTCAAATAGAGTGCAAACATCTCCTCAGAGGAAAGACACGTCTGGAAAGAGTCCACAAAGAGGTCGACAAACAAATAGGAAGGAAACCAAGCGATAAGAATTTGAATTGAAGTTTGTTCAGTGTTTACCATTAATATTACAATTAATTAATTGTTTTATTTATTACATGTATAGACACTAAAACAACGAGTTCTTCAAATATATCACTTCAAAGTGAATAAAACTAATCCATTATATATTTGTTAATTGTTTTAAATTTTGATAAATTCAATGAATTTTATTATTATATAATTAGCATATATTTTATATGTTTTACTAAATTTTTTAATTAATGTTTTTAATAACAAATATTATTATTTCGTCAATTATTTTACTCAATAAAAAATTTTTTGCTTTACTTAATAATAAAACATTATTTTGCTAAAAATGTTAGTTTGTATTTGTAAACAATTATCAATAGTATACATAGGTAAACTTATTTTGACCCCCCCCCCGTTACAAAAATCAAGATAACCCTTTATATTAAAACTGCTAACTCTTGTGATAAAAGTATAAATAGAGATATATTTTAACAATAATTTTGTCTTGTTAGCATGTATTTGTGATTTTTGTGCTATAATTATTCAATTAACTGAATTTCTAATAGTATTTATATCAAATTTTAATAAATTTTTAGAATTTATCCCTTTATTAAAACTTTTTGAGAAAAAATAAACGATATAAAAAAGTTGTTAAAATATGTCTAAAAGTGATAAAAACTTTTATAATCGTTTGTAAACAAATTAAAAATTAAATAATTTGTAATTTTTAATAAATAAATGTTTAAATATTAGATAAATATTAATTAAAACTATTGTAAATTATGTCCATTTACTACTTTTATGCATTCAATGTAATGAATTTGTGTAATAAATGTACTATATGTGCTCAAGATGTTATAGCATAAATCGGCCCATATATTCTATACATTTTGACACAATTTATAAATTCTATTGTTTTAATTAAAAATTATATATTTTTATTTAATTGAAATTTTATTTATTGTTTATTTTATATAATTTTGCTATTTATTAATTTATTAATATGTAAAAATATTAACTTTATTTTTCGTATTTGTTATGGTTGATTCAGACGGTGAGTTCGCACAGTTAAGCATTAGCTTGTGGTTAACATACCGGGCAATCATGTGTCCAACGGGGAGGCTTTGTCCCCGTATGGGGGTTCGAGATCACCCAATACTTTGTTGTATTGGTATATATTTCTTGTGTACAAACAATCACTGTTTGAAACACACAGAAACACCAGTTGCCAGCGTTTCCCGAGTGGGACGACTCAAGTTTAATATCAGACAATTTGCCTTCAAATACCATTTGAGTCAACCCTTTGCCGGCAATTTATATCTGGCCAAAGGAGACGAGTATTCACAGCAATTGAGAGAACAGGTATGCTATCAATTGACTTCAATATGACTTTTGAAGTTTTTTAAATTAATTGTTTTTATTTAATTTAGTTTTTGAAAGAACAACAAAAATAATTAAAAATATTTTGATTTGTATTTAAATAGATTATCAATTAAAATGAATACTATACATTAAATACTATAAAATTATAGCAGATTTGTGTTAAATTGTTTTTTTTGTAACAATAAAGTTATTTGAAGTTCAAATTTTGAACGCATAAATTATTTCAATTATTTGTTGATCAATAAAATTAAATTCAATTCAATCTCGCATTATATTTATTGTTATAATTAAATAATACCTTATTCTAAAGTTTTAACAGTTATTACAATCTCTGCCATAAGTTCTTCATTTCTGCACAGAAAATGATTGCAAATATTGTATTCATTGTGTCTTTAAATGCCATTCACTGCCAAATTACTGATAATTTGTGTAATTTAATGAAAACTAATGGCAGATATGAAGGCATACGAGTGTTCAGATCCAGTATTCAAAAAGCAAATCTGATGTACAATAATGGCTATGAATGGGAGACTATGATTGAGACAAATCGTATTAAAAAGATTTCCGAAAAATCATTCATTGGTTTTGGAATTATCAATAGATTCAGTGCCAACGGTTACGACTGTGAAGTCAGATATCAGGTTATTATACATTGGATTATAATTTATTGAAACATTAAAAACATTTTCATTGAATTAAATTGATTTGAAAGAAAACAAACAATACCTCTATTGAGACGAACTGTACGATTGGGACGTCTGTTATCTCTAACAAGAAATCTAATTACGATCCCAAAGCCATTATATATCGGGCGTCGAAATATATTAACAACGATTGGGTCGTTATTTACCGCAAAAACGACTCTAAGATATCGTGTTATTCGCCAAATGGGAGCCCAAAGTTAAAGACGAATGAAAGTGAATGCAAACATTTGGCTAATTATTCACAAACTATATTTGAATCAATCGATCCGTCGATTGTCAAGACTATCGATGGCGTCGTTGAACTCATTGCCGGAAATCAAATACTCGCTTACTATATATTCTTCAGACGAGACGGACGGCCAGCCCTTTGCACAAAACCAATAGACGACACGAAGATTACAGTATTTTTATTATTAAATAATGTATTTAAAGATTAATTAAATCATATTTTTAGTGCAAAGAAAAGAATAACATCTTTGATATATTGCCCGATTGCTTCCCTCCTCCGCCTCCATCGCCGACCTCTTTGTACAATCGCTGGTATTTTATTTTATTAATGATTGTCTGCGCTCTCGTTATCACAACTGTTGTCATCTATTTTGTGATGAGAAAATATTGGCCCGATTTACGTAAAAAACATAAATCATTTGATAATTTCTCTAATAAATAACTAAATAGTAACACTTTTATGAATGAAGTAAACGCTTGTCTTTCATCGATATGGCCATCCAATCAGAGACGTAGACCAGAGATGGCCGCGGCTGGGATGCAAAGTATGTGTTATTTCTTGTTTGAATACATATTTTGCCAACAAATAGATTACATATTAATAATGCATTCATTGATAGCTCCAAAAAGGCGTTTATCATGAGAATCCGGCACCTCTATGGACCGCATCCCCTCCACTACCAAACAGACCGCTACACAAACGGTGGACAAACCCGCACCGGGAGGACGACCTCTTTTAGACAGTTTGTCTAATATTTGATATAATTTTTGCAAACAATTCATTGTTTTGTTTGTTTTGTTTAAAGAGAAGAAGACATCGTCTCCGGACACGACTTCGGCTTCTCGTCAGACAACAACTCCTCAAAGTCCGAGAAAAAGTTCGTTTAGTGTTTTGACAGCAATTTTACAAACAATTAATGTTTTGTGTATTAATAATGCATTCATTTATAGCCCCGGACTTGAGTGGAAGACAGAGATCACCAAAACCAGTGCCGGTCACAAAACCCGCCCCAAAGGCCGCACAAACCCGTACTAAGGAACCGATGGCACTGCAGACCGGCCGCAACGCTCCGGTCATACTTCCGCCAAAAGGTATGTGTTTAGTGTTTGATATAATTATACAAACAATTCATTCATTGCTTTATTATATGTAAAGATCCAAAGACTAGGAGTCCGGACAACACTTCGTAAAAGACTTCACCAAAAAAATACAAAATAGAAGAGAAATAAAATCTCAAAAATTGAATGTTTTATATTTATTATATTTTCTATTCCTATATATTCTGTAAATTTTGTTACAATTTATTAATTCTATTGTTTTATTAAAAAATTATATATCTTTTATTTATTTGAATTATTCTTATAAACAAGATTTGGATACGTTTTTGATGCATTAGTCACAGAAAAAAGTAATTTTTGCGAATTCATTAAACAATTAAAACGAAATACTTTTTATCGAAGCCATCGACCCATCAATTGTTGAGAATATCGATGCAATCGTTGAGAAGCAGTCGAGAGATGTATTCGACGGATACTATGTATTGATCAGACGAGACGGACGGCCAGTCTTTTGCGACAAATCTATGTTTGACCCGAAGAATAGGGTAATAGTTGTTAGCAATTATTGTATGAAAATTATTATTTTTTAAACATTTATAGTGCAATTTGTAGAAAGACATTATTGATATACTGCCGGACTGTTTCCCACCTCCGGGTCCAACTCAGACCCCATTCTCTGAGTTGACGATTAGTATTGTATTGATTGTGATTACCATAACTGCTATGACTGTCTGCCTAGACATTGGCATCGGTTTTTGCAATTTACAAATGTGATACACAATTATGTAAGCATTTAAAACTTATAATTTCTATAATTGTATAATAATAAACAAATTTTGTATGAAATCAATCATTATTTCGAAAACAGGGGATTCAGTGTCTAATAAGGCGTTGTGTGTCGTATCCGTGTCGACGGCATAGCCCGACAGCACTCATACAAATTCCAGTTAATTAATAAATAAATAATAAAAATATGATTTATTTATTGATTAATTTAAAAGAATTTAATTCATTTTATGTATTATTAAATATAAATTATAAATTATAAATTATATATTGATTATTAAAAATGTGTTGAAAAACATTTCTAGTTATTAAATAATTACAAATATTGATATTTACTAATATTTATTGGTATTATTGAGAAACGGTTGAAATGATAGCTCGAGAACACAATCACTCCTTGTATTGTACATACAATTGTGAAATCGATCGGATTATTCATGTTTTTGGCCAAAGAGGCGACTATTAATAGCAATTGAGAGCACAGGTATGCTATCAATTGACTTCAATATGACTTTTGAAGTGTTATTTAATTAATTGTTTTCATTTAATTTAGTTTTTGAAAGAACAACAGAAATAATTTAAAATTTCTGATTTGTATTTAAGTAGATATTTTGACAATTTAAATCAATTACATTAAATACTATTAACAAAATTATCACATTTTTTGTCATATATTTGTTTTAAAATGTTTTTTGTAACAATAGTTATTTGAACGCATCAATCATTTCAGTTATTTGTTGACAATTATTAGACAATTGGATTAAAACTCGCGTTATATTTATTGTTATAATTGAATACAAAATTATAGTTCATTTTCCAACTGTTATTACAATTCCTGCCATCAGTTCTTCACTTCATTTATGCAGAAAATGATTGCAATTATTATATTAATTGTGTCTTTAAATGCTATTCACTGCCAAAATGGGAAAGAAATTTGTGAATTAATGAAAACGAATGGCAGATATGATGGCATACAAGTGTTTAGATCCAGTCGATCTAAAGTGAATGTCATGTATAATAATGGCTATCAATGGACATTTAAGATGGAATATGAAAACATTCATATGTTTTACAATGCATTGAATCTTTCAATTAGTAAAGAGATTATCAATCGATTCAGTGGTAATGATTACGTCTGTGATGTCAGACATCAGGTTATTATACCTTTAATTTTATTTTATTCAATACATTTGTTAAACATTTAAATTGAATTAATTTAAAAGATTACAAACAAAACTCTCATTGAAACCAATTGTTTCGATGGCCTTAAGAACACGACTGACACGGAGTCTCAATACGATCCCAAAGACCTCATCTTTCGGGCATCGAATGCAAGTGACAACCAATGGGTCGTCATTTACAACAAGAAATCGCGAAACATATCGTGTTATTCGCCGAAACAGACCCCAAGTCTAGTGACCAATAAAACCAAATGCAAACAATTGATTGGAAGAAATCAAACAGTCATCGAACTCATCCACCCATCGATTATTGAGAGTATTGATGGTATCGTTGAGAAGACATCGCGAAAAGTAATCGACGGATACTATGTATTCTTCAGACGAGACGGACGGCCAGTTTTTTGTGACAAATCTATGAGCGACACGACGAATAGGGTAATAGTTATTAGCAATTATTGTATAAAACTGTTAATTTGATTTGATTTTTAGTGTAATTTGAAGGGAGACTTCACTCCTATACGGGAGGACTGTTTCCCTCCGATTAAAGGAAAGGATGAGATCCCTTGGGGTTATATCATAGGGATTATTGTCGGTTTGATTATAACAATTGGATTGATTTACTTATGTGTATTCCTCGCTCGCGAACATTGTCCCCAAATTTGTAACAAACATTTAATGATTTCTATAATAATTAACAAATTAACAATTATTATATGAAATGTACGCTTATTTTAAAACAGTGCCGAAAGCGATGCGACCCTCTTTGAGCCGCCCCTCGGCTCCAACAGTGATCACAAAATTTACGCGTATGTGTCGTGTATTTGATTGTTTTTCATACATGTTTTGCCAACTATTACATCACATATTAATTATACATTCATTTATAGCTCCAGAACCGAGCACTTCAGGAAGGAGTAGTCCACCAAATGACGGGTCATCAGCACCACAGCCGCCCTCATCCAAGACACCGGAGACCACATCCGCACAAGAACTACAATTACAACAAAAGAGTTTAGTATTTGATATAATTATTGCAAACAATTCATTCATTTGTTTATTATATTTAAAGTTGCTAGGGCCTATGGAATTATCGACAGACTGGCATCACCACAAACACTACCCACTCCTCCCAAATCACATACAAGAGGTATGTGTTTAGTGTTTGATATAATTATTACAAACAATTCATTCATTGCTTTATTATATGTAAAGAGACGAAGACTTCGCCTTCTCGTCAGACAACAACTCCTCAAAGTCCGAGAAAAGGTTCGTTTGGTATTTTGATAGCAATTTTACAATCAATTAATATTTTGCTTATTAATAATGCATTCATTTATAGCCCCGAAATCGAGTGGAGGAAAGAGACCATCAAAACGAGTGCCGCTCACAAAACCCGACCCAAAGGCCGCACAAACCCGGGCTAAGCAACCGATGGCACTGCAGACCGACCGCAATGCTCCTGTCATACCATCGCCAAGAGGTATGTGTTTAGTGTTTGATATAATTATTACAAACAATTCATTCATTG